CGGATCTTTTTATTGAGTTGTGTTCTCTTCTTAGCGCGTACGTTTATGGCCATGCATGTTATCTTGGTTTAGTGAACTCTCTAGCAACTTTGTGCCTCCAAAGTTCCATAGGGAGCGGCCCCACTCCCACATTCACATAGGTGAGTCTATCAGGAGTACCCCCAAAATAAAGTAATCCACCCCACATAGGGTATAGATCTCATTAAGAGTTATTAACTCAACTCCATTGCTTTGGGATTCATGCTTCACTATGCATGAACTTTTCGCATACTACTCATGACTTGTTATTACCCATTGAACCCATTTCTTGGGATCTCCAGTCTATTGGGTCGGGTTGCCATCACTTGTAGTCCATGGTTCGATAAGCATAAGTCCTATACCCTTGGTGGTAAACTAGACTTTCTCTCTAGGTAATCCTTTCGTCAGAGGACCAGCTAGGTTTTGTTCGGATCTTATATGATCCACCCTCACTGCTCCTATCGTTAGGAGTTCTCTTATAGTACTGTGCTTACGACGAATTTGTCATTTCTTTTCGTTATAGAACCGGTTCTCAACTTTAGCGATAGCTGCGGTACTATCACAATGGATCAATACCGGAGGGACCGGCCTTTCCCATAGGGGAATCTCTGACAACAATCCTCTCAACCAACTCGCTTCTTCACTAGCCATTGCTAGTGCTATAATCTCTGATTCCATAGTTGATTGGGCAAGGATTGTTTGTTTCTTTGACTTCCAAGACACAGCTCCACTAGCGATGTTAAAAACATACCCGCTGGTTGCCTTGGAGTCATCTGATAGGGTATTCCAATCGCATCACTATACCCTTCTAGTACAGCAGGAAACCTTTGATAGTGTATACCAAGGTTTGTTGTTCTCTTGAGGTATCTCATGACCCTCTCTATAGCATTCCAATGCTCTCTACTAGGACAGATGTTAAACCTGCCAAGCAATCCCACGACATATACAATGTCTGGTCGAGTGTAATCCGCAACATAACGGAGACTGACAATGATGCTAGCATATTCTTATTGTCTTACACTGTCTCCAGTGTTCTTAAATAGCTTTACACTAGCATCATACGGAGTACACGCAGGTGTACAGTCGAAATAGTTATATTTCTTCAAGATCTTCTCTATGTAGCTAGATTGATCTAGAGAATAACCATTTGTTGTTCTAGTTATCTGGATTCCAAGCATAAATATTGCTTCTCCCAGATCTTTCACCTCAAAACTCTCTTTCAACATGTCTTTTGCTTCATTGACCACGTGAATATTTGTACCAAATATCAACATGTCATCTACATACAAACATATGATAGTGCAAGTGTTATTCTCTGACTTGCAGTAAATACACTTGTCACTTTCATTCACCTTAAAGCCATGTGAGAGAACGAGTGTGTCAAACTTCTCATACCACTGTTTTGGAGCCTGTTTCAAACCTTATAATGATTTGTCCAACTTACGTACTTTTGAGGCATGTTCGGGGATAACAAACCCTTCTGGTTGTTCCATATAGATTTCTTCATCCAGATCACCGTTCAAAAAAGCAGTCTTAACATCCATTTGGTGTACCACGAGATTGTTCAAGGCAGTAAGAGCAATCATGACACGAATGGATGTTATTCTAGATACTGGTGAATAGGTATCGAAGAAATCTATATTCTCTCTCTGCCTGTAGCCCTTAACTACCAGGCGTTCTCGGAACCTTTCGATTGCACCATCAGGTTTCTGTTTCGTTTTTAGAACTCATTTATTACCTAAGACTTTGCAACCAGGAGGTAAGTCTGTTAGATGCCAAGTCTTATTAGCTTCTAAGGATTCCATTTCATCTATAACGGCTTCATTCCAAAAGTCTGCATCTATGGAATTTAATGCTTCCTACAAACTTTTTAGATCTTTGAGGGTGTATACTATAGTAAAGTCATCACCAGAATATTTAGAGATTCTAGCTCTTTTACTTAGATCCAACACCCCCACTAGTTTTGTTATCTCTAATAGCGGGTAGTACATTACCCTCACTATTTCTCGTTTTAAATGGAAATCGTGTCTCAAAGAAATCAGCATCAATGGATTCTACTATCGTACGAGAATTCAAATCATAGAATCTATATGTCTTACTATTGGCCGCATAGCCAACGAAGACACATTCATATGCTCAACTAGCCAACTTAATCCTCTTAGGATCCGGAATTCTTACATAGGCCAAACAGCCCCACGTTCTTAAATAGGACATATTAGGTGGCTTATTCTTCAAGATCTCATAGGGTGATTCTTTTCTATTTGTTTTTGGAAGACGATTTAGAACATAGCAAACCGTCAACAAAATATCACCCCACCAAGAAGAAGCAGCTCCAGAATTGAGCATAATAGCCACAACTAATTCTGTAAACATCATATTTTTTCGTTCAGCTTTACCATTCATTTCTGGTGAATATGGTGTTGTTGTTTCATGAATGATACCATGTGAGCTATAGAATTCCTTGAAGGGATTAGAGTCATACTCTGATCCTCTATCACTCCTAAGTCTTTTTATCTTTCGATTGCACTGATTTTCAAATTCAACCACAAATACCTTGAACATATCAAGGGCTTCACTTTTGTTTTTCATCAAATAAACAAAGCAATAATAAGAGCAATCATCTATGAAATTGATAAAGTATCTCTTGCCAGACCTAGTTAACATCCCATCTAGTTAACAAATATAAGAATGAATAAGATCTAAGGGTTTTGATTCTCTACTCACATATTCATAGGGCGTTTTCGTTATTTTAGCTTGGCTACTGAAATCACATTTATCAATTCATTCATTGAGAGTTTAAGGATATGTCCTAGCTTGTTTAAATTCTTCACAATTCGTGTGTTCACATGACAAAGATGAGCATGCCAAACATTCAAATCACACACCATGTAAACTGAAGAATTCATCTTATTAATTTTGACATTCAACTTGAACATCCCATTACATGCATATTCCTTTCCCACAGAACTCTCATGCTTAGTAAGGGTATACAAGTCCGCCCCAATAGATTGATTAAACCCAGCCTTATTAAGAAGATATCATGAAACAATATTCTTCCTTATCTCTGGAGTGTGCAACACATCCTTGAGCACCATCTTCTTCCCATAGGTGAGGTTCAGCTCCACTTCACTCGAACCAGCAACCATAGTGGTGTGAGTAGTCCCCAACATCACTTTCTTGTCAGCATGTGCTTCTGTGTATGCTTTAAACATAGAACGATTGTTGCATACATGCTTCGATGCACCTGTATCCAACCACCATCCTTCTGAGTCACCGGTGAGGTTGACTTCACCGATCATATCCGTGATCATGGCTATCAAATCCTCTTCTGTCAAGTTAACCATGGCCGCAGCAGTAGGGGTTTGCTTGTTCCTGCAATTTTTTGCCATATGACCCGGTTTACCGCAATTATAGTAGATAAATGGTGGGTCATTCTTAGAGTTTTGGGCCATGACCCATTGGTTACCTCGAGAGGCACCATTCTGGTGGGGGTGGACCTGCTGGTTCTTACTCTTATACCCTTTCTGGTTAGCTTTAAGAGCTCTAGAGGTGGGTCGTTTAGCAGTACCGACCATCACCTCTTCTTTCATATCTTGCTTGCCGGACTCTTCCTCAATCCTTAGGCGAGTAATCAAGCTTTCAAGTGAAAATTCTTTGATTTTATGTCTAAGCATATTATTAAAATCTTTCCACGAAGGGGCAGCTTATCAATAATGCAAGAAACTTGAAATTGATTGTCCAGAGGCATACCTTCAGAGACGATCTCATGAGCTATTTTCTGAAGTTCGTGGGACTGAACTTCGATAGACTTGTCATCCACCATCTGGTAGCGCAGGTAGCGGCTGACAGCATACTTCTCTCCAGCCTCCTCCGTGTCATACTTCTTTTGGAGCGCATCCCATATCATCATTGCGGTGTTCTTGCTGTCCGCATTGTAGTCGTAGAGATCTTCTGCCAGGCCGTTGAGGATGTAGTTCTTGCACAGGAAGTCATGCTCCCTTTCCTTAGCAGAAGCAACCCTCTCCTCATCGGTCGCTTCTTCCGGCAGCTCGACGGGCATGCTGGTGAGGCAGTGTGCCAACTTCTTGGTCATCAGCTAGAACTCCATCTTTTATCTCTAGCGACAGAAGTTGACTCCCACGAAGCGAAAGGGTCGATTGATATCGACAGCACCAGATCCGACCATGTTGTTCTGTTCAGTCAACATAGTAGCAGGCGAACGTCTTAAAATTGTTAGAAACTGAACAACAAGAACGAGGTTACCGAATCTGGAGTTGAGTCACGGACTATGTCGCTCTCTTTAAGACGTTCGCAGCACTTCCCTCGATGCGCACGGCAGACTTCAACCGGTCGTCTCCAAGATAAAACAACTCCTCTCTATACTCGCGGTTTTGTGCGAAAACCCGAGTTCTCTAAACACTCTCTCTATTGTGGTTATGCTCGTATTGTGGTGTGTTTAGAGGGACTAGGGAGGCAGCTATTTATAGGAGCCGAATCCCTAGGAATATACCCTCTTGCTTGGGGAATAAGTCGGATTAATTAAGGAAGATAATTACTTCCTTAATTAGAACCCGTCTGTAAGATAATTCCTGGCGGGATTATCCTTCGAATATTCCTTTTAATCGATTATCCTTAGAATATTCCTTCGTATAACCGATTAATAATTAATTATTTAATAGTTAATATCGTTCAGAATTTCTCCAAAAATATATAGTCTCAAGTGACCCAACCAACCAACCAACTGACCGACCGGTCAGTCGAATAGACGAGCTGCGCGCGCGCGTGTGTGTAGTGGTCCGTTAGGTCCTCTCTCTCTCAAAAAAGTGGGTCACCCCAAGGGGCATGCCCTTAGGAGAGAGGCTCCTATCTTTATACACATTTCACCAAGTAAAACTATCAATGTGGTAGTTTTTTCCACTTGAGACTCTATAGCTTTCAAGGCTATTTATATATTTCCAACAACCATAGCCCCGATCCACTAGTACCCTCTCCACCGTCACCTAGGGTTTCCGCCGACACCAGCAGCTGCTCCAAAAAGCCCTTCCCTTCGGCAGCCCAAGAAGAAGAAGTAAACAGAAAGAGGCCCCACGGATGGACGATAGGTATGCATGAAGAAATCTACAAGTGGCCCCAGCGGATTTGTCGTCATGAGCTTGAGTTTGGTGCTTCAACGAGGTAGTCAACTCCGGGCAGGAACAGCGGCGTATCCAGGACATATTAGAGCACTGGGCCGCATTTCATTACAATATCAATTATACACGTCGATCTTTTAATATAGTGAAATCATCAATAAAGGAGTCTACATCCATACTAATCGCATACTACTCTTTTTCAAATAAAATAGCTAACCAATCGGCGAGAAATTCATCGCTCATTTTGTTGCGCAAATCATTTTTCACATGTTTCATTGTTGAAAATGTTATCCATAGTAGCTGTTGAAACGGACAATGTCAACACTAGACAAATCAATCGACTCATCAATTTGTATCGTGTATCCATCCCTATTTTCACCACCTGCTCTAGTGCTTTTTTCAAGTGAACAAATCTCATACTTCTTTTAGCCTTTTACGTTTTAGACTTTTAGAATTTTAGGTTTCATTGTTTGTTTTTCTTTAGACGAGACTCATTTGAGCTAGAATTTCTAGAGTAAATTTAGAGTTATGATTTGAATATGTTCATCTTACCCATTTTCCTAGTTACACGCAATTTTATTATAAAATAACACTGGGCCAAATTACTAAAATTGATAAATGCTTAAGGGTTATACTAGTTCCGGATCCAGAAGAAGGCTGGTAGGGCCACCCCTGAATCCGCCATTGGCAGGGAAGGAGGAGGATGAGATGGCTGCGACGAGGTTCAAAAGGAAGAGAAGTGAAGATAATACGACGTCGATGGGTTTGCCTTCCATGTTAATAGGGTTGGCACAATGTTGTCAAGAGGTGGCGTATGAAATGATGAAGAGTAATAATCACAATCGTCTTCCTCCAGCTCCAGGTGCTGGTTGTTGTTCGACCCGGATCTTGAACCATTTCCGGCGATCAGTTCTGCCGCCGTGGCGGGGAACTCAGATCCCCACTCTATTTGCGGCACATCCACGGCGCCGGTGACGGCGGCAACAATTTTTTTATTTTATATTATTTATTTTTTAATACTTGCAATGATAAGGTGGAAAATTAAAATATTTAATTTTTATTTGTTTTATTATTTTTAATTGTCATGTCACACATTTAACGGTCAACTATAAGAGTTGACTGTCATATAAGCAAAAATTAACGGAGTTGTACGGAGAGTGACCACACTTAACATGTTTAACTAATTTTCGTGACCATGAATGGAATTAAATATTTTTAGTGACCAAACATGAACATTTTTAGTAATCATTCACAGTGACCAACCTTGCAATATTGGTCACTAGAATTACTAAAACAGGTCATATTTAGTCACTCTCCCGTCAGCCTCCGTCCAACTCCGATAACTCGAATTACATTTTTTTTTATGAATGTCACTCGAAATACTAAAACATGTCACATTTAGTCACTCTCCGTTAGCCACCATCTAACTCTATTAACGGAGTTGGACGAAAACTAAAGGGAGAGTAGACTAAATGTGACATGTTACAGTAATTCAAGTGACCGAAATTGATATTAATTTTTTTTAGTGACTAAACATGATATGATTTAGTATCTCAGTGACCAAATGTGACATTTACCCATTAAATTTTATATCGTTCTTTGTCCATTCCGTCAAACTAAAACCAAACCAAACCAAACAAAGAGAGTAGTACGTGCCATGATCTAGTTGGCCCCTCCAAGTGAAACCAATTCTTGTGTTTAAAATTTGTATATTTCTATCAAATGCTCTATATACATTAAATTTTATAAGATTCCATTACTGTCCCCACATTATCATTTGTGGTTATAGAAAATATTGTATAATATTGTGGGTTGTTTGATTGATCGTGAGTCGATTAGACCATAACTAGTTAACTAATTGATGCTCTGAGCTATATACTATGGGACAAGAGTATAAAACCAAGAGGGTAAAACAGAGTAATGACGATAATCACGTTTTTTCTGCTAATTTTTTGCATCCAGACATTGCCAAAGAGAAATTGACCATAAAATTTTTTCTAATGCCAAAGAGATTTGTTCTTTGGGTGGACAACGAAATAGATATGACGTGATGAGGTTTGAAGACTGGCCAAAAGCTCCACAAAAAGGCAAACTTTAGCATATAATAAAGACATTAAGGAAGAAGAGTTTGTTGTTAGTATTAAACTCAATCATATTTCACAACATCCCATCTAGAGTCTCAATCAGTGCGAGTGTGGTTCCTCGCTTCGTTAAGTGTGGTTATCTATACCTGTTTAAACTCGAATTTGCTACACGCTTGGATCAGTACCCTCTTTAATGTCATGACCAGAAATCCAACAATATATACTTCAAAAGACATTAAATGAAGAAAATTATTCAACGAAAGCTAAAAAACACATGAAATCCAGCAAGGCGTTCTATACCAAAATAAGCAATGTTGAGATCAAGTGTAGCTAGGAAATAAGGGTATGTCAAACACTAAAAATTGTGCGTCATAATTTGAATACACTACCTGAACCCATAGTACGAGTTGAAAGAATTGTTATACAATGATCATAATATATCAACATTTACATATGCCAAAGACAAAATCAATTAAACAATTACAGTTTGTGTACAATTTCTAAAGATGAAGTTATTGGTCTATTAAGTATTGGATGGTAGGAATATATATATGGTGGCGTCTTTGGTGCACTCACTTTTTTGGGTGCATTCAGTGCACTCGCTTTGTAACCGTCATTTTAAACATGCGATTTATGTCAAAATGATACCAATCATCACTTATGATGTAATGAACAATAACACACATGAATTTGCACAAAAACCATTTAAGATTTACTATAATTTGAAGGATTTGGAGTTTAGAGATTTAGGGTTAGAGTTAGGATTTACAATTTGGGGTTTAGAGATAGAACTCAAAATTGGAGGTCTAAGGCTTAGGGTAATCCGCTAATTAGTTGTTATCATATGTTATATCATCATATTACACTAATTCTACAAAATTAAAATTCAAAAAATCTAACACCTTAAGACTAGTTTTTGAGTTGGGTACATTGAACGCATTCAATTTTGTGAGTGCACCGAAGTAGTCAATATATATATGGTGCCTTCTACGGTACCCCGGGTGAAATCCGGGGTACCGCATACCTTGAGTATGAAAACGCTATCCAGACCTCAAATTAGCAGGATTTTTGGGCATGATATTATACCCTAACTCTTAATAAGTGAACCCTAGGTCCTAATTATCTAAATCATAATCTATAAACCCTAAGATGGTGCATTGATTTTTTTGCCTATATTTGGACGAATCATAACCGTCGATTATTGTTTCTAATTAAATTGATCTTGGGATAAAAGATTTATAGAATTAAGACTTAGATTTTGATTTTCAAGGGTTAGAGTTTAGTATCATGTCCGAAAGATCAGTCAATTCAAATTCTGGATAGCGTTTTTTTAATCAAGGTATGTCGTACCCCGAATTTCACCCTGGGTACCTAGAACTCTCCATATATATATATATATGATATTCCAACTAATGACGAAGAAGTACACCAAATAGCAATGAAATTGCGTAAATATAATGTAGCAACTACAATCGAAACCTTTTGGTTTCTTTCCCACTGCGCCAAAAACAATGAAAAGATCATTATTGGCACTTAGTTGCAGAGGCCGTGATTCCTCTACTAGCTTGATAGGAGGGCCCAGGCGCCGTGCCTCACCGGCCACAGCCGACCAACCTCCATCCGATCGAGCCCCTAGTAAACCCTTTAGGGGTCGTTTGGATCCAGAAAAGTGGGCAGGGATTTGGCCTCAATTCCGGCTCATCCAGGAATTTAATCAATTCCCTTGTTTGGATAGCTCTATAAACATCAAAGATTTGGGCCACTAGAAATTTTAAATTCGGCCCAGTCCGGAATTGTGAATACCTAGGAGCCTCCAAGTATTTTGAAAATCCGGCATTAATTTATGGTTTGTTCCCAGCGTGTCCCTTCGCAGTGTACCGGAGCCAATCTCGTCGGAATTGGACGCGGGAGAGAAGGAGCTCAGAGAAGATGACCGACGATGCAAACTCTCCAACCACCACCACATTCTCCTCCACCGCCGCCCTCGACTCATCTCCTTTCTCATCTTCCTCCGCCGCACTCTGCTCTTCTTCTCCTGCGCCGGTCACCAAAGGATTCAGATCTGAAACCCAATGTACAGTCAACAATACCCAATCAGATCTAATCGACCGCCAACTTCCTAGTTTGTATCTCCTGGCGAAGGGGAAGAGAGCTAGGGATTCTTTTCCCTGTTCCGAAAGACTGAGACTCCGTCGTAGAGTGCGAGGACGATGGAGACTGGCGAGGAATCAGAAGGCTCGCGAGGTCTCCGGAGGACCTAGGAGAAGACGTATATAGTTCTCCCGTTCTGGGTTCTTTTATGGAATAATCGCTAGCAAATCGATGCGTTGTTCTACCACTGCGCTCTGATTCTTTCTTTCGGCGGATCTGGGTTCGCAAGAGGCTGGATCAACTTCCATCAAGTCGTCGCCATCTGCACCAAATCAAGCTTTCGGGGTTAGCAAAGAGTTGGTGTCTGAATGTATTTGTTTCATCCAAGAGAGGGAAAGGGATCATTCTGCTAGACGATGTTTTTTTGAGTGCAGGGTGAGTGATTTTTTTCAGTGAAAGACAAGGGGATAAGGGGCCGGCGACGAGCCAAAGCGGTATACCGACGACGATTGATCCGTGAAGGGTATAACTGTAATTTCACAATTGCGGTTAGAATTAAATTTCCTAACTAACAAATCCCCATTCATAAACAAACAAAATATTTAACACAAAAACTGGGTTTAAAATACTAGGTATTTTAATTGAGTGATTGTGGCCAAATCTCTACTTAACTAAATTCTTATTCCAAACGACCCCTTAAATTTTTGTTGCGACTCGATGGGTTGTAAGCTATAACGATGCTGTATATTTTCGCAGTGTTGGTATGGAAATTTGGACAATTTTTTATTTTTATGAATCAAATTAATGGTAGGATATTAGGATGAAATGTTTTTGCTATTGAAGTATGTCTGTCACTCTCAGGGAGAGGAAGGTCACGCCTACAATTCAAACGTAGGATCTACGGGTTGAAAATCAATGATGATACTATTAAATCATATTATTAGTACTAATTACTTTATTTTAATTTTAGAAATGATGATTAATATTAGTTAAGGATCGTCCCGACTCGAAACAGGTATAGTAACAAGTCAAAACACTATAAGAGAACATCTTTTCCAAACTTTAAGAGTTTGTTTGAAGTTGTGATCGTATTGTAAGAATACATACATTAATTGTTTATATACTTTTTTTTCGTACTAAATTCATGAGTTGTTTGTTTGTTTTGACAAAGTATCACTCAAATGGAATGATTGAATAATCTCATACTTTAGCTAAGATTGTAGAGATAATTGAGACTATATTAATGTTGAATCCTTTTTGTATTCATAACACAAAAACATATCACAAATATCAAATGTTGTATTTTACTACACACAAAACTCATCAATATATATGGTTCAAACTAGAGTACGCCAGACGTACGTTTACCTTACCATACGCCCGTCGAGTGTTGTTATATAGACCATGAATTAACCGGACTTTTGGGGCATGATACTATATAATAACCTCTAATGGGTAAGCCCAGTCCCCAACTCTCCAACCCAAACCATAATATTCATTTAATTTTAAAACAAAAATTGATAGGTCTAATATGTTGAAATTATCAAAGTACAAATAATAGGTGTGAATGCACGCATATGATGTACGCCAGCCAGACACAACAAATCTGCGTTCACACGACCATACTTCCATTAAATTTTACTATTTAGACTATAAATTAATAGGATTTCAAGCATATATTTAACAATCACAACTTTTAAATCACCGCGAAAATAATAGAAGCCACAAATTCGTAAATGGGATTCATGTGCACATTGGAGAAGACAAAAGGAACACTTTCATAAATTTTTCAATTAATTTGGTCCAAAAAATGCCCCAAGCTAAAACCAAGTTCGTTAATATCAACAGCACTCTATAGCTATTATAGGTGTCAATCGGGCGGGTTTGGCGGGTTCAGGCTGGGTTCAATCGGGTTCGAATTCAAACGGGTTGTGGGTTAGTCGGGTTAGTCGGGTTGCGGGTTTATCGGGCCGGGTTCATACGATTCGGATTCAAACGGGTTGCGGGTTATTCAGATTGCGGGTTCATACGATTCGGATTCAATCGGGTTGCGGGCAAATCGGGTTGTGGGTTCATCGCGTTTTGGGTCGGGCGGGTTGCGGGCGAATTGGGTTGTGGGTTGTTCAGATCAGCGCATCGAGTAACTTACTCATTACTCGTTACCAACTTACACATTTTATTACACTAATTTAAAATATTTTTCACAACTTTTTAACCAATTTCTTTCTACCTCGTATATATATATGGGTGGTTCTATCGTACCTTGGATAAAATCTAGGGTACGGTATACCTTGAGCAAGAAAACACTATCTGGACCTCGAATTGACCAAAGTTTGACATCTGGTACTATTCCCAAACCCTTAAAAATTAAAATCTAGGTCTTAATTCTATTTATCTCATACATTATGATCAATTTAATTAGAAACAAAAATCGACGGTCATGATTCGTCAAAATATATGCAACAAATTACATGCACAATCTTAGGGGTTAGGCTCTATGATTTTGAAAACTAAGACCTAGGGTTCACTCATCATAGGTTATGGTATAGTATCATGCCTAGAAATCTGGTTAATTTGAGGTCTAGATAGCGTCTTCTTACTCAAGGTATGTCGTACCCTAGATTTACCCAAGGTACGATAGAAGCCACCATATATAGGTATATATACTTAATTAAAAAATAGTCAAAATGTTGAATCAATTTGTATGACTTGCAAACTTGTTATATAATTAATCGTAATTGGTAAAGTACACTAGCTAATAGTAATGGTGATATCAACATTCACAACCAAAAGACACCATTAATTGTTTATTTGATATTTTAGTATTATTTCAATAGTAATTGGATTAAAGTATCTCGTTTAGTATAACCATGCAAATATGGTATTTACCAAAAGCAGAGTTATAAAAGGAGTTATTTCAAAATAAACTCATTGCCCAAATAACTTTAGTAAACTTTTGTCAAACAAGTTATTTGTGAAATTGTTCGAATTATCCTAAAAATTGAACCATTAAAGATTAATTATCAAATTTAGTAAAATTGTTGTGACTTCAATCATAACTTACTCAATAACATATATCCTATACACTTAGCCTTACACTCAATTGACAATATTAAGTTAGTGTATGTTGTTGATCATATACTCTAAACCATCAATACATTATACACTAACCACATACCCTATACCCTAACCATATATCCTTATGAGTTGTGATTTTGCTAGTATAGTTAATTTAAATTTGAAATTCATACTTTAATGTTCAAAACATAGATGAAAAAAATGATATTTGCTAATTGCTATACCCTAACCATATATCCTATACTCTACACTATATACCGTGTACCCCAACCACGTACCATAAACATAAATTAAAAAGGGATTTCCTGCCGTTAAAGACTTCAAGTGAAAATATGTTAATAAAAAATTTAGAACCGTAAAAATCATTAGTACCTTATACCCTAACTATATACACCCTAAACCATATGTACCTTAACAATCGTATGACCGAGTTATTGCAATCGTATGACTTAACATGCTAAGTTTAACCCCCATTTTGAAATAAAAGTTCAACACGAACACAAATTAAATGTGTCAAAATTTAACTAAGTGTTGTAAAATAACGATCATGTAGTGTTGAAGTTGCAATAAATGTAGAAGCATAGAAAATAAGTAGACAAATTAAGTGATATGTAAAACAAATGATTGTTGTAACTAATGGTTAATTTAGTTATTAGCACATAAATAATTATATATATATATATATATATATATATATGGCAAAGGCTAGCGTACGTCCGGGCGTACGCTAGCCTACCGTATATATATAAATATTAGCCTTCAAAGCATATAAGAATAAATTTAACTAGTCATGCCCTCCATTAAAATATTAAAGATTCATATTTCAAAGGCTAAAATTTTGAAAAACAAAAAAGTTGAAAATACCAAATTTATTTCCTTTTTTATTTTCACAAAAAAGTACTAAAATTTCTCTCATTTCTCCTTCGATAAATTAGAAACACTCAATTTTCCCTCTTCTTTCTATTCCATAAAATTGAAAAACCCAAAGTTCCCTCCCTTTCTCTTCCTTAAAATTGAAGAATCGAATTTTCCTCTTTTTTCTTTCCTTACACAAAAAGTTGAAAACTCAAAATTTTCCTCCTTATTTCTCTTTCATAATCAAAAGAACCAAACTTTCCCACTTCTTTCTCTTACCACAAATCAAAACCACCAAAGTTCCCCTTGTTTCTTTTCTAAAAAATTTAAAGAACCAAACTTCCCTATTCTTTCTCTTCCCAAAAACTTGAATACACCAAAATTTCCCTCTTCTTTGAAAAGCATCAAAATACCAAATACATTACTTTACTTTATTTATATGTAATTGATAATTTTATTGAGTAATTAAATTAACCAAAATTTTAATTCATATATATATTAATATTGTCCATGATCTCAATTATTAATATTAACATTGTGTTGATTTTAGATTTTATATTTACTTTTTTAATTTTGTTAAAGAACTTAGTGTTCAAGTGACGTTCATGTTTAAATTTTTGTAATTTTCTTAAAATACATAATATCACGTGAGATTCATATTTTTTAAATTCCCTATACGAAATGAAAAAATAATTTTACCTAAGTTTAGAATGAATTTTTTTTTTTGAAAAACTATGTATTGTATAATTTAATAATTATTCAAGTGGATTAGGTGAAGTTTGGGTTGAGTAGGTCAGGTTACGGGTTAGTAGGGTTCGAATCAATCGGGTTTGGGTTATCGGGTTCGAGTTTAAACGGTTCGGGTTAATCGGATTGCGGGTCAGTCGGATTGCGGGTTAGTTGGGTTGCGGGTCGAGCGGGTTGCTGGTCGGGTTAATCCGGTGGGTTAATCGGGTTGGGTTCTGTTTTCACACCTATAATAGCAACCATGTCGCAGCTCTCCCGCATGCATATTCATATTTTCATTCATATATAAAAGTCTAGGTTTGAGTTACTATTCATTAGTGGCTCTCACACTCCTCTAAGTGCAAGTGGGGAAGTTCCAAGTCCTTCTTTTACCCCACTCTCCATTCTACAACCTTTGTGTTTAGTTATTGTTCGTAGGTTTTCGTCTATAGCTTTTTGCACAAATCATCGCCTTTGTGTTTTGTTATTGTTCATTAGGTTTTCGTATATGGATTTTTGCACAATCATTGCCTTTGTGTTTCGTTATTGTTCGCTAGGTTTTCATCTATAGCATTTTGCACAAATCATCGCCTTTGCCCACCATTTTGCAGCCTATCTCGAAATACTGTTGGCGGAATCCTAAGTTGTTCCCCAAGGACGCTACCACGATTTTTGTATCAAGACCGAGTTTCATCCTCTTTAGTGTTTTTTCTTTCTTTTTTTCCTTTTTGTTTTTGTATATGGCTTTTTGCACAATCATTGCCTTTGTGTTTAGTTATTGTTCGCTAGGTTTTCATCTATAGCATTTTGCAAAAACATCGCATTTTCCCACCATTTGGCAGCCTATCTCGAAATACCTTTGGAGGAATCCTAAGTTGTTCCCCACCACCGTTTCCCAAGGCCGCTACCACAATTTTTGTATCAAGACCGAGTTTCATCATCTTTAGTGTTTTTTCTTTCTTTTTTTTCCTTTTTGTTGAGCATGATCACAATTGAACCAAAATCCCTGGGTATCCAACCAAATTCGATCCAGTCAAAACGACTTGAAACCGAATTTAGGTTGAGAAGACAATTGAACCTGAATCTAAGGGTTTGATGAGTGTTGTATTGTGAGCGAGCTTTATCCGTTTTTGTAGTTGGCAGGTTGGACAAAGTGTTAATTTATTAAAAAATTGTTCAATGCGAGTTGAACACGTTGTTGACCAGTTTTAGATCGATGACCCAGCGCCGCATGACAACCTTCTGCGGGGACCCGATCACGCGTCCATCTACGGGCGGCAGGAAGTGGCGGAGATTGTTCGCAGGTTGGGTTTGCCCCCCAGTTGGGAGTACGATGTTCCGTCCGCGCGGAGCATGGTTGACAATTGCCCCCAGGGTAGTTAGGGGTGTACACGGAGTACTGGGTGATGGGGTTTAAATTTCCCATTGATCCGCTACTATGCGCGTTGTACAGGCGCCTCAACTGCTCGGTTGGGCGCCTTTCTCCCTCAGTAATCATGCACGCGTCGTGCCTCCGCCTTGCGTGTAAAAGGCTTAACATTCATCCGTCTTACGGGTTGTTCCGGAAGATATACAAAATCAAGGAGCCCACGAAGAGGAGAGAATGCCTCTCTATCATGCGCCGCGACAAGAGGACTGACGGTTTCGTGTATGGGTCCCCAAAGTTAAAGAAGACCTGGTTCGAGAGCGCTTCTTTTATGTTAAGCCGACTCCGGGGGAGTGGGCGAGTAAGCACGTGGAGGAGCCCACTGTTTGGAAAAAGGGTAGCACGCACGGATATGAGTCGGATCAAGGCAAATACGACGGGCTCGACGAGGAGTATGAGGCGTGCATGATGCAGAAGTTTAATTTATACTTGGGCGGAGTCCGTGAGGCTTGTTTGGAGGAGCTCTTTGCTGATGGTTAGTTATGTTCCTTTCCTTTTGCATTCTATCATATTAACCACCTTCTTACGATTTATTGGCGCAGGTGTTGACTTCTCAAATTTGGTGAGCATGATGTCAGTTGATGACGTCGTGAAGGCTCCTCGGGCTTCGCGCGCCGAGAAAAAGAAGAGGGATGGCGCGTAACCCAGCAGCGTGAAGAGAAAGGAGGCGGAGCAGCCGATGGTTGCTGAGAAGCCTAAGAAGGCGGCTCGAGTGCCGAGCATCCCATGCAAGAGGCGCGGCAGCTGCCTCTGGTGATTTCTGAACCAGAGGCGCGAGTGGGTAGATCCCCTCGCCCTGAGAAGGCAGTGGCTGCCGGTTGGTCCGGGGCGACTGTTCAACAGAAATTGCTGGAGATGGCCGACTTTGGGGGAGCCGCCGCCGCCATCAACTATTACCGCGATGTGCGGCTTCATACTGGTGCGGCGTGCAACAGTACTGCCGCGCAGGCCGCCCTGCGAGTGGTTGGCCCTCTGTTGAGCGTCCCTACGCGGCTGGAGAAGTCAGATTCACTGCAGGACCTGGCTCAGGTTCATTTCGCGGTAAGATTAGGTTAATCTTACGCGTAGTCCATCTTATCTGTTAAATGGAATTCTGCTAAGTCTGGTGGTGTTGTGAATGTAGGGCTTGCTGGCAACCTTCCGAGCCCAGCAGGAGCGAGCCTCGCACCGCGCAAAGCTGAAGGCGGAGGAGTCGAGGATTGACCAACTGGAAGGCAAGCTTGCCGGAGCGGAGAGTCGCGCGGAAGTGGCGACAAATAAAGCCAACGAGGCTATGGAGGAGCTCGGCGTGCTGCAAAGCAAGTTAGCAGATGATGTGGAAGCGGCAAAGGAGCGGGTGAGGGCGGAGGAGCGCGACACCATTCGGGAGGAGTTGCGAAGCCAATTCGCGGAAGAGAAGAAGCAGCTGGAGAAAGATCACGCGGAGAAGATGAAGCAAGTCCGTGAGGAGTTTCAGAAGGAGAAAGAGGATATGGTCCGCCTTCATGATGTAGCGAAGGCGGAGGCTATGCGCACAGCGCAAGTTGCTGCTATCCGCCAGTACAAATCTTCCCCCTCCTTTGGGAAGATTTTGGCGGATGCGATGACCAAGGCTGTGATCGCGGTCCGCAAGAAGGTACGACCAGAGAACCCGGGGGTCCGCTGGAACACTCGTGCGATGGTGCAACATGTTCAGATGTGGGTGGGCGAGAAGAGGTCCTTATAGTCCGATTCCGAGCCGGAAGCTGAGGAAGAGGAGGTGCGCACAGGCGCGGGAGAGGATGAGGAGGCTGGGTCTGGTGGAATTAGCAATGAGAATTCTCTGTGGGACGAGGGACAAAGAGGTGGGAGGATGTCCTTGAGGGAGTAGAATTTTAGAGAGAGAAGTTGATTGTTCTTAGAGATAGAGTCTGAAAAATCCGATCTCCTCACCCACCAGAGTAAATGCCATATTTATAGGCTACATGGTGGTGGGTGAGTTACGTGGTGACATGATTACTGACATGTCAGAAGTTTAGGTCATACCTGTACCTAGGACAAGGACATTTGTCCATCATTACACCTACGATTATACCTAGGACTATGATGTGACCACTCTTAGGGAAATGCGGCGTCGTTTTCACAGTTTCTTGGTCAGGTCAACGCTTGACTGAAACGTCGTCGTTCGGCGTTTGGTCTCTTTGTCCGCGGATGTGGGCTTTGCCGCGCTCGAGATCTTCGCGTTGACGCAACTTTGGTCGCGTCAGCTCTAACGCGTCTGACTCTTCCGGGGGCGATGCCGGGGTGCTTCCTTGGTGCGGCTAGATCCGAGTCATATACCCAACAGTTATTGTTCGCTAAGTTTTCGTCAATATCTTTTTGCACAAATCATCGCCTTTGTGTTTTGTTATTGTTCGTTAGGTTTTCGTATATGGCTTTTTGCACAATCATTGCCTTTCTGTTTAGTTATTGTGCGCTAGGTTTTCATCTATGACTTTTTGCACAAATCATCCCCTTTGCCCACCATTTTGCAGCCTATCTCGAAATACTGTCGGCGGAATCCTAAGTTGTTCCCCACCATAGTTTCCCAAGGCTGCTACCACGATTTTTGTATCAAGACCGAGTTTCATCATCTTTAGTGTTTTTTCTTTCTTTTTTTCCTTTTTGTTGAGCATGATCAAGATTGAACCCACATCTCTGGGTATCCAACCTAATTCGATCCAGTCAAAACGACTTGAAACCGACTTTAGCATTTATAAATTCCTTTTTTCTTCTTCTTTTGGTTGGGAAGACAATTGAACCCGAATCTAAGGTTTTGACGAGTGTTGTATTGAGCGAGCTTTATCCTTTTTTATAGTTGGCAGGTTGGACCAAGTGTTAATTTGTTAAAAAATTGTTCAATGCGAGTTAAACACGTTGTTGACCAGATTTAGATCGCAAGTGAGTTTCGTACGCATTAATTTTTTTTTATTTCTCATTTTCCTTTTCGTTGAGAACACATTTCGTATCGAGAATGAGTTTTATCCGTTTTTGTAATTGACAGTTTGGGTAATTGTGAATTTGTTATACTTGGTCAACCCGGTCAAAGCGAGTTGAACGCAGTGTTGAGAGTTTGAGGACATGAACGAGTATTATCCGCTTTAATATTTTTTTTATCGTTTTCCTTTTGGTTGAGAATGACAATTGAGTTCAACCGCATGGGTATACAACCTAATTCGACTCGACCAAAGCGACTTGAACTCGATTTTACAGGTTTTCGGCAGGAGCGAGTTTTATTTGATTTTGTAATTGGCGTGTTGTGTCAGGTGTGAATTTTTCCAAAACTCGGTCCAACCAGGTCAAAGCGAGTTGAACCCCAGTTTGACGAGTTTTAAGTCGGTAGCGAGTTTTACCTTTAATGTTTTTCATTTCGCTTTTTCATTTTGTTTGAGAAAGACAATTGAATCAAAATCCATGGGTATCTAACCTAATTTGACCCGATCAATGCGAGTTGAACCTCCTAAAACCTGCAATTAGTGCAAAAATTTCATAAAGGAAAACCACGATTACCTCAAACCCAAAAAAAGAAAGCCATACAAATTGAAACATTAGCATCATGAAAGAAATTTACAAATAAATAATCTATTCGACGACCCCCTCTACCTTATGCAAGTTCATCGACCATATGCTATTGTAAATAACAAACCTATGAAAAGAATGATTAACAATGAAATAAGATGACTTTCACTTTTGGGTATATTTTTGTATGGCCTGAATTTTGACTAAAGTAAACATCCTGGCCAATCTTTTAGATCTATAACATCCTGGCCCGAACTATACATCAAAATAAACAATTTGGCCAGATCCGACTTTTGACCGTTAACTTGGACGGTCAAACACGTTGACTAACGGTCAACGCGCCATGTCACTGCCAACTCAGCAAATTTCAATTATTTTTTGTAAATCATCTATTTCCATTTCTTTCCCTTATCATTTTGAACGAAAAAAATTTCAATTCAAAATGATAATTTGTTTTATTTTTTGTCCCTAAATTGAAAAGGAAAGAAACGATCATTTTTAAATTAAAATTTTTTTTTTTTACAAAATGATAAAGGAAAGAAAATGGAAATAGGTGTAAATTAAAAAAAATAATTGAAATTTGCTGAGTTGGCAGTGCCATGGCGCGTTGACCGTTAGTCAACGCATTTGACCGTCCAAGTTAACGGTCAAAAGTCGGATCTGGCCAAATTGTTTATTTTGATGTATAGTTCGGGCTAGAATGTTATAGATCGAAAAGAATGGCCAGGATGTTTATTTTGATCAAAGTGCAGGCCATACAAAAATATTAACCCTTAAAATTATTACTTTCTAAAATATTTATCTTTGTGATACGTGAAGCGATAGGAAGCGGAATTTTGCTAGTAAAATTTATAAATACCCACCTCCCCCTCCTCCGACAATCATATATTCACGCCTCAAACACCCACAATTCAGCCCCTATACACAGTACAGAGAAGCAGAGAGCTCTAGAAGATCGAAAATATGGGTTCCATCGCAGAATCAGAAACCCAAAAGCCGAAGCCGCACGCCGTCTGCATCCCGTTCCCGGCGCAGGGCCACCTCAACCCTATGATGAAACTGGCCAAGCTCCTCCACGTCAAGGGCTTCCACATCACCTTCGTCAACAACGACTACAACAACCGCCGCCTCCTCAAGTCCCGCGGCGCCGCCTCCCTCGACGGCCTCCCGGACTTCCAATTCCGCTCCATCCCCGACGGCATCCCGTTGACCGACGACGACCAGCTCGACTCCACCCAGGACGTCCCTTCCCTCTGCTACTCCACCCCCAGGCACTGCCCCGCGCCCTTCCGCAGCCTCATCGTCGACGAGCTCAACAAGTCGGCCACGTCGCCGCCGGTGACGTGCATAGTCTCCGACGGGATCATGTCGTTCACGGCCGACGTGGCGGAGGAGCTGGGGATCCCGGTGGTGCTGTTCTGGACGCTGAGCGGGTGCGGGTTCTCGGCGTATGCTCATTACAAGGATTTGATGGAGAGAGGCATCACGCCGCTCAAAGGTCAGTGTTTTCCTTCAAGGATTGAAAAATCGTATAATACTGGTACTGGCAGTTCCATCAGAAAAATCTTCTCTTGCACAATTTTGACGGTATTTAGTTAGTAATATGGAAAGGTTGATCCTACGACAACATTTTCGTACAACGTAACTTCCAGTATGGTATTTAAATCCTTGGGTTCTTTCATCAACAAGGGAGGGAAAGGCTTGGCCATGGTGGCCGGAATGGGAACTGTGTGGAAGCTTTGAGATGTGGGCGTCCAAGGATCTCCCATATCTTGTTTTCGTTTCTGTTTTTGTCATTTCATATGTTTCTCCCTTTTCATATGTTTTTGTCATTTCATATCGTACGTAGTTTCCTCCTAAGCTTTCCACAATTGAGACGTTTTGGAGTTTGTAAGGATCGAAGGTTTGAAAACCCCGTTGATAATTAATCACTTGATCCTAGTAGCCCATATAGTTGGGAGGGGTTTGATGATATATCTTATATAATTTTTTCAGAGGAAGAATTGGATTTCACGAGAAATAAAAAGTGATTGGGTAATTAGTTTGACAATCAATAATAATAAAGTTACACGAAAAAAATTACATAGCTATATACAGTTATGTACACGAGTCAATATACTATAAAGTATGCATGTATTGATAAATGAGACAAGATGAAAAAACAGATTGATTGAACCTAGCTCAACAAATTCCGAATCAGTCCTCATACAGTACTCCATTTTAATTATTATTATTATTATTATTATATTTCGTTCTTCTCAATGAATGGGATGTAATTAATTATATTCAAATTTCGCTGTCGAGAACTGTAGAAAATCTCCTATTATATATGATTTGAGGCCCCAAAAAGATAAGCGGACACATAGGCGTACCGCACATCACAAAGCTTTCAAATTTTCTGCTATTGAATATTGATGGCAACGTTTTCAACGATTGTTATTAGTTTTCATCCACACATATATATATAATCTATCTACAATTTAACCTAGCTTATTGTAAACACCCTCTCTATCTATCTCATTCTGCCATGCACAGACGCCAGCTACCTGACAAACGGCTACCTGGACAACCCAATCGACTGGATCCCCGGGATGGAAGGCATGCCCCTCAAGTACTTCCCCAGCTTCATCTTCACCACCGACCCGAACGACGTCGTCGTCAACTTCGCCATGCGCGAAATCCACCGCGCCGCCACCAAGAAACCCGCCGCCATCCTCCTCAACACCTTCGACGAGCTGGAGCAAGACGTCCTCGCCCACCTCTCCACCGTCTTCCCGCCGATCTACACCATCGGCCCACTCTGCGCCCTCACCAACCACTTCCCTTCTACCAAGCATGAGCCCCTCGCGTCCATCGGCTCCAACCTCTGGACCGACGAGCCCGAGTGCCTCAAGTGGCTCGGCGCCCACGCGCCCGGGTCCGTCGTGTTCGTCAACTTCGGGAGCGTCACGGTCATGTCCCCGGGCCAGCTCGTGGAGTTCGCGTGGGGGCTGGCCAACACGAAGGTGCCGTTTCTGTGGATCATCCGGCCGGATATTGTCCGTGGAGAGACCGCGATTCTGCCCCCGGAGTTCGTGGAGGAGACGGCGGCGCGTGGGATGATGGCGGGGTGGTGCCCGCAGGAGGAGGTGCTTAAACATCCTGCGGTGGGCGGGTTTTTGAGCCATATGGGGTGGAACTCGTTCTTGGAGAGCGTGTGCGGCGGGGTGCCGGTGGTGTGCTGGCCGTTTTTCGCGGAGCAGCAGATCAACACGTGGTTCGCGTGTGAAAAGTGGGGGGTTGGGAGGGAGATCGGGAATGATGTGAGGAGGGAGCAGGTGGAGGCGATGGTGAGGGAGCTGATGGTCGGGGAGGAGGGGGAGGGGATGAGGAGGAAGGCGGCGGAGTGGAGGAGGAAGGCCGAGGAGGCGGTGGCGCCGGCTTCGGGGTTGTCGTATGGGAATTTTGAGAGGCTTGTTGAGGAACTGATCTGATGGTGGCTGGAAAATCTAGCTAGATAGGGTCGCGTGTGTGTGTAAGTTGCTGTTTAAGGTTCCGGTGGTCGTTTTTTTCTGGTTTTTTGTGTGTTGTTGAAATTGTGTCTTATGAATGGAATAATTTCACTTGGTCATCCTTCGGTGTCACTATAGCCATAGGTGGAATTAAAACATTGCGCCTACCACGTGGTCCCCTCTGGTCCGACCCCCCTAGCATCCTCCTTCGATGTCGTTGACCCATGCTGGCCAGTTCGGAATGAGAGAGAGGTCACCCGAGACTGGATCGACACAAAAGAAGGAAGAGGAAGAGGGGTTTGACCAGGAGAGGGAAGATAGACTCAAGTTTAGGAAAATTATACTTCTATTAGTTTTTTCCCCGAGCTCTGAGCACTTTTAATATGCTATATAGTATTGGTGTTTTAATGTACAATTCAAAGTTGTACCATAACATTAAATATATAAGTTTAGGTTGTACCATAAACCAATTTGTACCATTATGTTATGGTACAACTTTACAACTAGAAGTTGTACCATCACATAAAGGTACAAGTTCAAATTGTACCATAAAAGAATTTTTACAAAAAGTATAAGTACAATCTAAAGTTGTACCATAACGTAAATGTACAATTTTAAGTTGTACCATAAAGGCAAGAACCTATAGCACCAATACTATATAGCATTGTAAAATTTCTCCCGCGCTTTGCGGCCGTAAGAAACTAATTATATTTATATATATTATACTCATTTAATGATTTAGTTGAAACAAATAATTCACAAAATCGTTAGATACCCATAAATTTTGGGTCACTAGTGAAAGCTATTTAGTTAAATACTCAACCACGTACCAAATCCCAAAATGGAGGGAAAAGATTAATACAAAGCAAAGCGTATATCTTTCACATAGGAGTAGGTAAGAGTTTCCGTGAGAGAAAAGGATTGAATGCTTCGTTCCTCTCCTTTCAGTTTAGCTACTTCTAACCTTCGATCGAATTCTCCCCCTCTCCTTTCAGTCGAGCATATTGATAACCTCTCCTCTCACTTTATTCGAGCTTATTTCTCTCCTTACTGTTCTAATTCAAATGCGAGCTACTTCGCACAACTTCCATATTAATAGGAAGGAACTTTAATCAGAATGAACCTGAAATTTTCTTCTATGATCGATCGGTATAAACATCAACAACTCTTAATTGGATTGGTTTCGCCTCAACAAATAAGCACAAGGCCACTCTATTTAGTGTGTGAATCATTAAAAAATATTTATGTAATGCAAATGTTTAATTGATACATAAGATATAATTATCCACCCATAAGCTTTTCATATTGTCTTAATCATTAAAAAAAATTATGAAATACACTTGCTTAATTGATATATAAAATAATTTTACTCCATAAATTTTATATTATATATTTGTAATTTATACTGTTATAGAATGGTGTTATGCAACTTTCTTGTAATATGTTGACATATAATAAAGGGCTAATACCACTAGAAAACTCGAACTATCAAGAACATGTCATGTGTGTCCTAAAGTATCCAATATGACATTTGTGTCTTTTGTGTCATTTATGTCCTGACGATTTTGTTGACCGTTATATGTAACAGTTGACGAGACGGTGGTCAACTTGATTTTGACTTTTGCTGACGTGGCAAACACGTGGCAGCCACCTAGATGTCATGTCATTGACACCTTATAATTTTAATTAAAAATACTAAAAATTAAAAAAATTAAAAATTAAAAAAAATATAAACTCAACCATATTAATCATCCAAAATTTTAAAACAAAAAAATAAAGCAAAAAAAAATTACAGTAAGGAGAGGAGGACCACACGACCCTTCCCATTCCTATCTTATTTCTCTCCGCCGTCTCTTACCCCCACCCTGCCAGATTCCCCATTCAGCAAACCCACCATCGCAAAGTCCGGTCGCTATCCCAACCCCACCCTCCACCGTCTCAAGTTCGAGCAATCCGGTCGTCGGAATCGAAGCCACTGATAGTAGAGGGGGCAGAGTCCAACGTATTAGGGTTATTAGAAGAAGTGGGAAGAGAATGGAGCAACAATATCCACTAGCTCCGCTCTCGGATCTCGCCCTAGGGTCGGAAAAGTCACGAAACCCCCCCACCTAGATCTCTCTCTCATACTATGTTTGACGGTGACGGAGGAAGAATGGAAGAATTGAGCAACCCAGATCGGCGATCTCGCTTACGAACCCAGATCTGCAGAGACTCCATCAGCAACAACTCCCTCGTCATTTTCAAACCCGCTAGCTTACCTCAATTGCTTCGCTCTTGATCCTCATGCTTCTCCTAATTCGCTGGTGTATTCCGTCTCCGTCTTGCCGCCGAAATCCTGCATAAGAATGACCAGTTATCAAAATCTTTCCTCTCCCCCAATGTTCGAGCTCCCCTGGAATCTTTGAAACTGCTCTCTACCCAATCATGTCAGATCCACTCTCACTTCCACCATTGCCATCTCCTCTTCATCTCTCTCGTCGGCAATGGCGGAAGTAAAGGGGTTATCGAGGGAAAAGACAGCGAGAAAGAAGAAAATGGGGAGGAGAGGGTTTGGTGCTAATGGAGGGGAAGGATGGAGTTGGAGTTGAGACGAGAGAAGAGGATTTGGGTGGCAGATGGAGTGGAGGACGAGAGAAGATGAAGAAGTTGGGATCCTGGGAGAATATTTCACTACAGGAAAATTCACATTCCATCACGGGATTTCCCGTGACTTTATAGTGAAATCTCGTGACTAAATCCTTTCATCATGGGTGTTTCCTGTGACAAGCATTCTCGTGGTCAAATGTATTTGGTCACGGGATATCCCATGACAAAAGATGACATGATAACGGGAATATTCCCTTGGTAAATGGTTTATTTAATCACGGTTAATCCCGTGACTAATCATTTATCACGGGAAAATTCCCATGACTAGGTGCTAAAGTAGCCACGGGATTTACCATGATTAGTTGTATCATTTGACATAGGATTTTACTCTTTTGTCACGAGACTGTGATCGTTGGCATATTAATGATTAAGGGGAATTCCATTGATTGTTGTTTCTAATTACTCAATAAACATCTAAAATTATTACTTGTTAATAGTAGCATTACAAAAACTAAAATATCTTATTTAGAACATCCATGCCATCACAAGAAAATTTGAGTTGAAAATAATAACTTGATTGTTAAAAATACTATGAAAGCTCATTCATCAATGTTTACGTAAAATTAAGAGCTTATATATGCTTGTAGCATCCTAACCGAATTGAACCTAACATAAATCTAACTGATCATTCCACTTGATCAAACATCCTGAATGCACATACAAAGGAAAATCACGAAACTTGTGATAATCTACATCACATTTATATATTGCTGCTTTATTGTCTTGTTTCCTTTTCATGCCTTGTTTGTTCTCCTCTCCTTGCTTTATCTTTTGTCTCCTCGTCTTGTCTTCCACTGTAGATTGAACTCAGATACGTGAGCAGCCCGGCTACAAATCCTTCCTCTAGACGAATCTGCAAATATGAAGAGTCATAATGAAGGGGAGTAATACGCGAAGAAGCCAAAACCGTAAAAGATTGAACTAATCTACATTTAATTGGCAATATAGGAGAAATTGTCAATTTATGCAACATAGGAAGGAGGGCGTTAAACAGAAGCCAAAAAGACAACCCAATGTAAATAGAACATAAAGAGTAACCACCATTACTCTTATTTGAATTGTAATTTGGATTGTAAACAGAACATAAACAGTACATAATTAGACAACCATTTGGCAAAAAGGAAGTTAATAATCAAACACGCATGCTCTAGGCTCTAGCAAAGGGGCAAGGAAGGGAGAATCACAGAACGAAAAGGAGACAAAATCTACCTTCATTCGTGACCTTTCTAGTTAGGGCTTTTGGTTTGAAGTTGATTGGGTTATCAGGTAAACCTGAAAACAGAGAAGTTGATCAAGAAGCTAGGTGTGACCCATATGTCGCATAAGCTGAAAATAGATATTGTGTAGGCTAGATGGGCTTTGTTACTGTTGAGCTATCACCCGGAGGATGACTTCAATGGAGGCATTTGTGAAAAGTATAGCGTTTACAATGGAGGTTGCCGGTTCTGAAACAAATTTGAAGATGAGGACAAAGACGGCAGCGGCTACCACTAATTTATCAGGGGTTCACGCTCATACTACCCCCTCCATCAATGAGGCTCCCAACCTAACATATCCCCTTAATAAGCATAGAAAGTCAAAATCACAAGCCACATAAAATTCCCAATTAGGCTACATATGTAGGACTAAATCCCATATTAGGTTTGAATACCACCATTTATTTGTTTTCGGATAAGAAAAGAGTGGAGGGATATCACCTTGGTAACTAAGAAAAGCAAAAACTGTCGCAGTCGTCGGTGTAAGGTTATCAACCGTGAGAATTATCATTGATGCAAGGGTATATTTATACCCATAAGACTACAGTTTACAAGTGTGAGTAGAAGACTAATTACAAGAGGAATAATGAGTACAAATCCTAACATTACACGGACAAAGTCTTGTCCCTACTATGCCCCCGCAAGATGGAGGTGGCGTGAGCAAGCCCAATCTTGGAACAAAAAAGGCGGAAGCGAGTAACTGGGAGACCCTTAGTGAGCACATCAGCAAGCTACATGGCAGTTGGCACGTACTGAACACAGAGCTGCTTAGATTGAACAAGCTGACGCACAAAATGATAGTCGAGAGCTAGATGCTTCATCCGGGAGTGGAACACCGGATTCGAACTGAAGGAGACAGCACCCATGTTATCAGAGTAGAGAACCGAAGCTGTGGAGAGCGGCTGATGAAGCTCATGAAGTAGATTGAGAACCAGTGCTGGAGCGAGCCACCGTGCGTTGCTTCTTAGATTTCCAGGAAATGAGCATGTCACCGAGGTAGACGAGGAAGCCAGAAGTGGATGTCCTGTCATCGGAATCGCCAGCCCAATCTGAGTCAGAGAAAACACGTAGCATGAATGGGGAGGCTTGGCGGCGGATGTGAAGACCAAGGGTAGTCGTACCAGCAACATAACGGAAAAGACGTTTGACATGTTGCCAGTGAGTGGTGGTGGGAGCATGCATGAACTGCGAGAGTTTATTGACGGCAAAGGCAACATCTGGGCGAGTGGTGAGTAAGTACTGAAGTGCCCCCATAGCCCGGCGGTAGAGAGTGCCATCCGCTGGAGATGACCCATCTCGTAAGGAGAGACGCGCAGTGGAGGTGAGAGGAGTGGGTGCTGACTTCGCCTCATGCATCATTAAGCGGTGAAGGAGATCGAGAGTATACTTATGTTGTGATAGGAGGTAGCCAGTGGAGGTGGGGATGATCTCGATGCCAAGGAAATAAGTAGCATAGCCCATGCTGGTAAGAGAGAACCAAGCGGCCAGTTGAGCTTCGAACTGGCGGAGAAAAGTCGGTGAGTTGCCTGTGAGAAGAAGATCATCCACGTAC